ATATATATAACATCGCTACTTAGTAGATTTTCACTTATTGCGGGGTGGTCCGGAACGTAACCACGCAATAAACGAGGGACTACTGTAAATGATATTGTCTCATCTTATGAAAATATATCAGTATTTTTTTTACTCAATATATCACCCAGTCCTACTTTGACCTGCAGAGTGAATGAGTTGTTACTGTTGCATTCAGTGCAGATTTTAGTTGCTGCAGATTTTACTGCCATTAAAGCCTCAGTAAGTTGTAGTTTCAGATGCTGGACATTCAGCTCAGGCTTCAGTACTCCATGGTAGCCTCTCGTTTATATGTGCACACAATATAGCAGAGGATTCCTCTTCACATGTGCCAATTCAGCAGTCCTTGCCTCTTGGGCGGAGGGGGAAATTCAGCAAAATATGAGACTGCCTACTTGAGTGAAATTGGAAGGCAATTGGACTTTTTCAAAAACTGAATACGCAACCAGTGAGTCATCATGATTTGATGAAATATTCTGTCTGCCTGGCAATTTAACTTGTTACCTTGAATGTGCAGACTATAATGCAGTGATTTCTGGTTGTGTTCACCAAAGTGCTCCGAGGTTTGAAATACGCTTCTCATTTGTGGAGGTTGATACGTTCAGTGCCTACGTGAAGTATTTATCCTCTTTTGTTGCTATTGTGAGTCAGTCACAGTCAATGTAAAGTAGACTTTTTGCAAAAGGTAAAAACTCCTATTCAAAGTCAAATCAATTTTCTACAGAGTAATGCTAAATAAATAAAAATATGAAAAGCAGAATAAGTGATTACATAAATATTCAGCCCTTCTAAAGTGATTGTTCTAATTAAACTCCGAGAAAGGATTATTGAAAAGTACAAGTCAGGGGAAAGATACAAAAAGATTTCAAAGGTGCTAAACATCACCATGAGTTGGCCGTGGTCCCTAACAGAATAAAGAAACTAAATTCAATTGTGCAATATGTTGCACATTATTATTGACTCTGGAAACGGTCCCAAATCCTCACCAAACTCCAAGTGTATCGGGTCAAACTAAAAATCGGAGTAAAAGAAGATGCATCGTTTCATGATGATGTTCATTCATGTTTATTGCGTGAATGTTTGTGAAGCATTCACTCGACTGTGATACATTTTTCTTCCGTACATTTTTTGGCGATATTCTCGTTCCGCAGTTTTCAAGCTATTTCAACAAATTATAATCAAAATGTTCAGCTCTTTCAGGACAATCCTATGACTTTTGGTATTGGTGCAATTTTATCTTTTTGAAATATTTAGCCTTTTCTGCCATTTTTTCCTCATAGAAAACAAATTGAGCTCATTTTACATTCTTCAGATCTTCGGATCTGTTTACAACCTTTTACTGCTCCTTTCACATTTTGTCTTGGTTCAGCTTCTTTCAGCTTCCTTGTGCAAATTTTTAAAAATTTCAGCTGCTTTTTCAGCTGTTTTGTCTCCTTTCAGATGATTTCTGATAACTACAACATTTTTGTGCTTCTTGTAAATTCTTCCTGTTAATTTCAGCTTGTTATGATCCTTTCAGCTTGTTTCTGTAAGTTTCAGCTTTTTCTGCTATTTCAGCCACTATATAGCTGTTTTATGCTAGTTTAAGCTTTTTCAGCTAATTCCACATTCTTTGCAGTCGTTGAAACTTTTTTCAACCTAATTCAGCACAGATGTTCTCTCTCCACTTCCTTCGGGTAATTTCAGCTTCTTTGTGCATTTTAAACTAATTTTCAGTTGTTTGTTTTTTTGCTAATTTCAACTTTTTTCAGATAATTTCTACTGTTTGCTCATTTTTGCTTCTTTCAACCTAATTGGGAAAACATGTTAGTTCTGCTTTCTTATGCTAATTTCAGCTTGTTCTACATTTGCATTTACCTTTCTTTTATGATTTCTTTAGCTAATTTCAACTGTTTTCAGATAAATTAAAGTTTTTCTTGGTAATTCCTGCAACTTTGACCCTAATTAACTTCTTTCTGCTAATTTCAACTTGTTATGCTCCTTTCGGCTAGTTTCAGCTTTTTCTGCTATTTCCGATACTACTGAGCTGGTTTTTTTTTTTTTAATTTTTTATTTAGCTTTTTCAGCTAATTCCACATTGTCTTAGCTCATTTCAGCTCTTTACACTTCCTCCTTGTTGGTTAAGCTTCTTTCTGCCTTTTTGGCTGCTTTTTAGATGTTTTTTTGTTACTAATTTTTGCTTTTTTAGCTTATTTCCTAATTTTTGTGCTAATTTCTGCTTATTTAAACCTAATTCAGCAAATGGGTGTTCTACTTTCATCTGCTAATTTAGGCTTGTTCTTTCATTGCAGCTACATTTCCGCATGTTTTTAGCTAATTTCAGCTGTTTTTCAGCAAGTTCTTCAATAAACATTCACACTGTTTTCACAGGAAATACAATTTCTCTAGTTCACCTTCTGATAATCAGCTTCAAGCTCAATTCAAGCTCGAGTATTTTCACCAACAAGCAGCTAATTCTGTTTGTTGGGCAGGTGCTGCGTGCTGTAATTACTTGTCTTTGTTCTGACGTGTTTATGTGACAGAGTTAGAGCAGCTCGTTTAGTTGACTGCAACGCACTAATGCTGCTTTTAAAGCTGCAGAATTATCACTAATTTTAATTTCAGTTATTTCACGTCCAGGTGCAGTTTAAACTTTGAGGCTGTGCTTCGTTATGACGCTGACACAAGGCTCTAACTTTGAAGTCTTGTCTGCTGCTGCTGCAGTACGACTGTCCTTTAAGACCATGTACTCCGAGTACCGCTGTAGTACTTGTGTAGCAGCTCTGCTGCGCTGCAGTTGTTTGTACAGTAGGTTTTAGCTTTGCTTGGTCAGACTGGGGGGGTTCCTTCAGCACATCCTCAAAATGCATCTGTAGCTTTGTGGCAGGCAGAGGAGTTTGGAAGATGTTTTGGAGGTTAAACCTCATCTCTCCGCAGATCATAGCTGTTGCATTAGCATATAAATGTGCTATTTGTGAGTTGCATGTTTAATCCGAGAGATTTAAAAGTATAATCTTACACAACGTGATGATGTGGCAGTGAATGGGACAAACACAAGACAGGCGAGGTGTGCTGATGAGCTCCACCAGCGGCT